TGATACATATTTCAATTAATGTTTGTTTTTTTAAGTTATTTATTATGCTATCTATTTTTTAGATTTTATTTTAAGACTGAAGCACAAATGCACATTAATATTCGTTTACAGGTTTCTTTTTTGTTCGTTTATTTTTTTTTCACCATTTATTTAGTTTTTGGCATGTTTTGTAAGCCGTATTTCGCTTATATGGTTTTCATTTAGAAATAATTCATTATTTTCTCAAATGTGCATCACAGATGAACCAACTATTAAGACATCTTATTAACACGAAATCTCCAAAATCCATTTCCTTGGCTCAGGTACAATAAACAAGAGAAGAAAATACCGCTGAGTAATGTGCGAATCATTTTGTTGAATAAAAGCGAAGAAAAATTAAATCCTATATATATATATATATATATATATATATATATATATATATATATAGATATGCAATGTGTATGTATATATATATATATATATATATATATTTAGAAATATATATATATATGTATGTATAATGTAAATGTATATATATATATATGTATGTTTTTAATGTATATATATATATATATATATATACATAAATATATATGAATATATATATATGCAATGTATGTATATATATATATATATATATTTAGAATTTTGTGTATATATATATAAATGTATGTATAATGTGAATGTATATATATATATATATGTATGTTTAATGTGTGTGTGTATATAGATATATACATATATACATATATATATATATATATATATATATATATATATATATGCAGTTTTTTATATATATTATTTATATATTATATATATATGGTACTTATTGGAAAGCGCTCAGTATCAGTGATAGAGCTAGCATATCCATTTGCATTAATGTGAGTTTGTGAGCCTGGGTTTCACGCCGTTTACGATCGTCAGACAAAATGATAATAATTTTAAATTTTTGGATTATCTATGGTTGTGTATATCGGTGTTTTATGGTAGTGGGAGGAAAAATTGTCGTCGGAACGCCACTCATACTAACGCAGACACACATACACGCAAAGGGTCAGAAACTCACATCAATGTAACTATATATATGCCTTATTTGCCTTAAATTAATATATGATAACGTAAGCTATTAGCAAAATGCGTTTTCCTGATACTACCTAAATTCATCCAAGTAAATAAATAAACAAACCAATCCCAAATAAAGATAATCAATTAAAACCTGTTCCCGCCAAAATAATAGCTAGAATGAACCACAACAATCAACCCCAAAATTGAACAAATAGCTTTAATTAAACTCTCAAACCAAAACAAAACTGTTAAATAAGTGATATAAACAAATTTTTACTACGTTAGTAAATAAATAAATAAATAAAATAAAAAACAAAAATAAAAACAAGCAATATAATTTGACCCAAATAAATAAACAAACGACTTCCGGTAAAATAACCGCCATAATAGAATACCCACAATGCACCACTAACCCGTATATATATAAATAGCCGAGAAAAATAACAGCATATTTGGCCTGACGATTGCATATAGAATGAAACAGACTGTCGCCTCTAAGTGTTGACTTCTATGTTCACTTATATATATATATAGTAAAAATTATAGTATAATAATATAGTAAAAAGAAAAAAAAGTAAAATATATAATCTGGTGTTTTTATTGATATTTTTATTTTTACAAACAGTGCTCAAAGTAAATTTGCAGAGCATAAATAGACACACACACATATGTATATATATATATATATATATATATATATATATATATATATATATAATATGTGTGTGAGAAGAAATATACTCTTACGGTGTACTATATTTATGGGATAAAGTGCTCAATATCAAAGTGAACATTGACGTCAACACTTAGAGACGACAGTCTGTTTCATGGTAAACGCAATCGTCAGGCCACCTTGATATATTTATATGTATTTATATTTATATATGTATATATGTGTGTGTATCTGCGTGCATGTATATATACATATATATATATATATATACATATATATATATATATATATATATATATATATATATATATATGTCTGTGTGTGTGTGTGTGTGAATATATATATATATATATATATATATATATATGTGGGGAAAACAAATATTTGTGCACACATAAATTTTTTAATTTATTGTATTCTAGTTGATGAATAAACATATTTTTCATGTAATTAGCTGCACACAGATGCATATCTAAATAGGCATAGAAAACAGAACAAAATTTGATTAAATAGAAATAAATCCTACATTCCTTTTTACATTTGTACAACACAAATTTCAGATTATAACACTTTTAAATTGCTTTATTACTCTAAATTATTCAAGTGCAACATCTTACAATTATTCTAGAATGTTGCAATAATATTATCAATAGGTATTTTTGCCTAAAATATGCAAACAGAACATTCTGTAATTGATATTCGTGCAAGAAATTTATCAGCATGGCAAGAGGCAAAGAATTGACAATTTCGCAAAAAGAACTATTTGGTAAGAAGCTAAAAGTTACAACCTCATACAACCTGAATATTTATTACCATTAGTTGATTCATTTCTATCTATAAAAAACAACGCAAAACTGTTGAAAAACAAAAAGGAAAAGGTGCTCCATGGAAGATTTCTTCAGGTTCTTCGAGGAAATTAATGCATCAAATTAAACAAAATCCAATGGTGACTCGTTAAGTGTTGCAGGATGATTTGCTTTCATAACATATCTGTGACACTAAGTAGACAATAAGCAATGAAATTTATAGGAACAGTCTAAAGTCACGCTTCTCTCAGAAAACATCACTGCTATTGAAAGGATTACGGACAGACGAAATTGAGTTGTTTGGACGTAATTCTAGAGAACATGTATGGATGAAAGATTTTTAAAATATATATATATATATATATATATATATATATATATATATATATATGACAACACAAATAAAAAAAAACAAAACTCAATAATATGAACTATGAGCATGGACACAATATCTTGAGCGTGTTTTGAAAATGAAAACTTTAATAAATACATACATGCAACAAACTATTTTTTGTTAACTGTTAATTTATTTCAACCTTGAAAATGGCTAAATGTATATCCGAAATTGCTCGGGTTAAAAGAACATTCGAACAGTTTTATATCATTTATCATCAGAAAAGAAACAAATATTAGATCACATGACTAATTGAAGAAAAAACTAAATCACAGCACCTTGTCTGTATTATTCAATGAAATACGCATCATATATATATATATATATATATATATATATATATATATATATATATATATATATATATATATATATATCATAAGTAATTCATCGAATGTAGAGGAATCTTCAACAGAATGCAGAAAGCGCGGGTCTCAGTGTCGTGGTGGTAACTAATTTAACTCGATATTGATCTTTACAAATTCCCTGGTATAACTCACCTGAGTTTGCCTTGTATCGTAACGGTCCGGGTTCGATTTTTGGTTAGTTGGTGCGCCCTGATGATGACTCCCAAATATAGGACGAAACGGCCGTCCACTCATTTCTGCATTCTGTTGAGGATTCTTCTATAGTTAATTATCTAATTATGAATATTTTAATAACTTCTATCACTTGTATATCCTTGCTTGAACAGGCTTCTAATGCTCTGGAGGGAGCGATTTGGGGATATCAACGATGTGGCTCGTGGGGGCACAGTCCGTTGTGCTAGGGAAACTCGGATGAATTACAACACGGAATTTTGAAGATCGGTGCTATATAGAGTCTAATTAGTTGCTGCCTCGTCACCGAGAACCGGTGATACAGTTAGTAAGACTCTTGCGTCGTATTGTAACGGTCTGGGTTCGAATCTCGATAGTGAATGTGCACTGCTAATGAATCCCAACCAATAGGGCGAAACGGCCGTCAGGTGCATTCTGATGAGGATTCTTCTAGATTCGATTAATTAACTATGATTATTTCCAACTCTACTTAATATATATATATAAGGCTTCTAACTTTATTTTTAGTGGATGCCTGTAGTTGTGTAGACGTTCCGTTTATTTTAAATTGTATTTATTACGTCTACCGTCCAGATTACTCTAGAAAATTAGCGTGATATCAATTTCCGACCCGTTTTTTTATAAAGTTTTTTCGAGTACTCAGGCCGCTAGACGAAATAAATACTTCTGAAAAAAGTAAACATAGCGTTTATTCAGATACGGGTGTCCATTAAAAATAACGTTTGAAATAATAAAAATATACGACGGACAAAGTCTTCCGCACCAGATTGTTACATTTGTTAGCGTTCGCTCCGAGAAATTAACAATACCTTCTGATAGATAGATAGATAGATAGATAGATAGATAGATAGATAGACAGGTCAGACACATGACGTCAGTAATTACTCAGAGGAGGCAGTTTGCGAACTTTCTGTCATAAATCTACAAGAAAAAATAAAATATTTTCCATTTTATGCATAATAATCAGATAGATAGATAGATAGATAGATAGATAGATAGACTGGGAAATATAGAAAAAGAATGCAATTGATCAATTTGATGGGTTAGATAGACAAATTGAGAGAAATAGAAACAGAATGCTATTAGATAGATAGATAGATAGATAGATAGATAGATAGATAGTGGGCAGTCTTCCAATTATGTCATTTCTGCATAAAATTAAATGCACTAGATTCAGTACGTTGCCGTCTGTTGCAGGATATGTTTTTTTTTTTGTTACTTTGTTTTGAACAGGCAAATATTTGAACCCAAAGTAATTTTACGGTTGAAAAGACGCTAAGTCCTCTGTAAAATGATGTCTTCTGTTTTAATAACCAGTTTAGATCACCTCTCGTAATTCAATATGCTTTCTCTCACCAGGTAAATTTAGCTTCATTATAAAAAAAATGGGAAGATTACCTACGAAATATTGTAATTAGCAGCTCCCTACTTTCTCTCTCTCCCTCCTTTCTTTCTTTCTTTCTTTCTTCCTTTCTTTTCCATTTCTTCCCATTACTTAACCCCATCTGTCATTTTTT